GCGCACAGTGTGGACTTCCGTGAGGTCAGGGAAGAGTCTTTCGTCCTTCGGAGGCATTAAAAGGATCGTCGGGAGGGTTTGTATCATCGCCGATGAGGTGGTTGTTTGCTCGTTTTTCGGGGCCGACGTGCGTCGCTTCTGGAATGAGATAGCTTCTGGGTCGGTGATTTTCGTTTTTGTCGGTGGATGAGAGGGCGGCCTCTGCCAACTGGGGCACAGGGATGCGGGAGTCGGCGGGATGGGGGAGAAGCGGGCGGGAAAGTCGGTCATTAATCGACCTTGGGCGATGAAAATATAACGAGTGTACGTTTGCCTGTCGATTTGTCGAAGGTGAAAGCTGCCCAATCTATTATCAATGTGTGGCAGTTTCCAAATGAAAATCGATGTGTTCTCATTTTTACTTAATGCTGAATCGTCTGCCAGTAGCTTTTCGTGATCAAAGCTCACCGACGGGGCTTCATTGGAAGAGCTCCCCCGCTAGCAGGCTTTCAAGCACCACGGGCGACAAGCTCCTGACACGAGTTAATCAATGCTGAGACCCGTCACATTTGACAGGCTAAACTCGCCTCCACTCAACTAAGTGGTCAGCCTCGAGCCACCGTCTTCGTCCATCCGGCATGCAACTGGTGCTCCATTCAGTTCGATGTTGGGCTCATCACTCAATTAGCACGACAAGTGTCGGCGCCGTAACAAAGCACCGTGTCGGCGGCGTCGGCTGACCTTTCACCGGGGTCACGGCACCCTCCCCTCCCCGTCCCCACCACGGACCGGTAGGGTTGACCGGCCGATGGACCCCGCCCTTGTCGGACGGGCTGTCCCGGCCGCCGGACTCAAATAGAGGCTCATCTGTTTAAGCTGGCCTCACGAGCTGACCGCTCCATCCTGTGATGGGACAGGCCATCCATCTTACTCAGCGGGATATTCGGTAGTCACATACACTCCGTGATGGGCTGGTGTTTAAATAAATGATTTATTGTAGCATTAGTGAAGTTAGCTGTTGAGCATGTAGGGGTGATGTTCAAAGAACTTGATAATACATTTTAAATCAAATTAGACACACACTAGATTGTGTCAGCAATCTTAATCCCTCTCCGTTTCTGGTCCTTCTGAGCCTTTGCTGTGCAGTGTGAAACGTGCTTTATGTATAATTTAGATTTGTAATTTACACCCTTGGGCTGCACGATGTCAGCAATCTGCATCCCACTCGCCTCTGAAGTAGGTCACCGTCTCATCTCGCGCGCGCTCCCCGTCACCTGCTGTCCTCCCGAATCAGGTCCTGTTTGACCCGCGTTACCGCGCTGACCCCAGGGGACCGCCCGCGGTCGCTCCCGGTGGCGGTTCCTTTGATCTTCGGAGGCGATGCTGTTGCCTCCGAGATCAAAGGAGCCGCCGCCGCCACTAATTGACCGCTCTACTCAGCGGGAGGGACTGGCTCGTGTGACATGTGACGTATGTGACGTGGCGTGACGTATGATCGGACCGTCACAGGCAGCCGTCACTCTGGAAGTATCGACAGTTTAGTGCCTCTGGGTCTGGTCTCGGCAACGATAGCGATGCCACGCATAAAAGTGTCCAGTAAAGGACAAGCGCATAGTCGGTTTGGATGCATTGACTCGACAGTCAGTTTGTGCTGCTACGGGCCACTTCAGTGAAAGGTTGCACTGGAGTGAAGTTATCGATTTCTTATTTGGCAATCAACATCAATATCGGTAGGCATTTGGTATGGTTGCCTGATCGTCGATGCTTATTCACTACATCATCATGCAACATACAGGCTAACAAGAGATGGTTTGAATTAGACCGATTGTGCAGTTGGATTTCATAGGGCTATCCAATTGGATTAGATACGATCCAATTGGATTCAACAGCACTATCCAACTGGATGTCAAATTGGGTCCAATTGGATGCCCAATCGGATCTAATTGGATGTCTTATTGGATATCCAATAGGATCCAATTGGATGACAAATTGGATCCAATCGGATGCCCGATCGGGTCCAATTGGTTGTCTAATTGGAAATTCAATCGGATCCGATTGGATGTCAAATTGGATCAAATTGGATGCCCAACCGGATCCAATTGGATGTCTAATTGGATATTCAAACGGATCCAATTGGATGTCTTATTGGATCCAATTGGATATTTAATTGGCTATCCAATCGGATCCAATTGGATGTCTAATTGGATATCCAATTGGATGTCTTATTGGATGTCTAATTGGATGTCCAATTGGATATCCAATTGGATATCCAATTGGATATCCAATTGGATATCCAATTGGATATCCAATTGGATGTCTAATTGGATATCCAATTGGACATCCGATTGGATATCTAATTGGATATCCGATTGGATATCTAATTGGATATCCAATTGGATGATCATTTTGAAAAGTCCGTTAGGAACTCAATCGGACAATCCATTTGGATCCAATTAGATTTTTTTACTAGGGATTTTAACATGCTGGTACTTCGCTATCGATGAAATTGCAATGTCGCTTCTTGGTATCACTCCAAACTTTTCGGGCTCACAACTTCGCACTGGGCCGTTCTACCGAGCACGCGAGAGGTCGGCCCCAGCCATTTCTGATCACCAGCGCGGCAGACCAAGCCTGCGTGCTCTACCAACAAGGGGCGAATCGGTGGATTGCGTGCTACTGGCTCCACTAGGAGTAGGATCGGATCGAAAGGTGGAAACGGAAGGGAGTGGAGGAGGCGGTTGTGACTTGAAATATAAAATGGTGGCCAGGGGAGGATGAGATATCATAGAGATCTAATCAGACAGTGGCCTCATCATTCGGACGAAGTGCCCCGTCGATACCTGACTCACCTTCACCGCCGCTCGATCCCGGACGTCGGCTGCGTCGGTGCCGACGATTGGCCGCGTCGGTGCCGACGATCGGTTCCGCCGCGGTCCGACGCACGACTGACTGAGCGACTCCGCCCGCCGACGGTCGTCGGTCGGCGCGCGCCGGTGCTCGGTCCCTTCCGCGGTGACGACACACCTTAGGCTGTTTCACCGGGACATTGGGCCTGTCGATTTACTGATCCCAGAGAGGTGCTGATCAGTATCACATAAAAATCATATCTCTTCTGATCACAACTGTGTCTCGATGCTAGGCTCCGATGCCGCCGACGCACCAGGGTATATTTCACTAGTGAGGGGCAAGGCCGGTGACGGGGACATGATGATGTACTGGCCGCCGAATGTTGTTCGGCCTGTCCTGGTGTTTTGCTGCCTACTGATGCCCAAACTCGGGACCAAGCACGATCTGCTAGGAGAAACAAGGGGTGAGGGAGATAGAGCCAATGAAATCGTCCATATGTTGCCCCGGGTCCTTTGTTGGTGACCCGTATAAATGCCAGTGTCACGACTTAAGCACCTGGCAGGCAGGCGCCACCCGGCAGCCGCGTCTCACCACGGCTGGCCTCACGAGGCAGCCGGTCTCACTCTCATCACATCACATCACATCACATCACACAGTAGATTATCGCATCGCTCCGAGGCCTGAACGGTCCTCAAATGTTACACTGTCTGTAAGGGAGCTCTCCAGCCCCGAACACGAAACTCTGAGAAGGATAATTATTGTTTATGTGGAGCCTCTGTTCGTGTTGTGTGCGCTCCAACCGGTCTTGGTTTTCCCAGTGAATCACGGTGATTTTAGCGAAAGTTTAGTTCCACTTAGTTCAAAAAGCTAGTCGATTTCAAGGTCCTGATCAGGTCGTTTCCTTGCAGATCCGCAGTGGATTGCCCTTATATGTTTACCTCAATTTCGTAGTTTGCGTTCAGTGTTCTTATTTTCTTGAAAAAACGTCACAATTTAAAGTGACTGTTTGCTAAGCCAAGTGACTTGTCCAACAATTTTCGTTGCAAATTCATAATCTTCTAACTCCATCTCGGACTTCCCATTTAGCTATGTTACCTGCACACTCTCAAGATAACTAATGCGCATCCTGTCTTCTTAACAAACTCCCCGTCACATCAAACGGTAATTTGGGCTTGTTTCACTCTCGCGCGAGACTTTGTAACTTCGCGTTGTCTGACAAAAAGGCTCCACTTAGCGCGGAGCCGTGTTTGCTGAAGCCTCGCCCGAGGACCGGCGGTAAATTGTTGGTGAGATATTTCCGGATGAAAGGAGCCAAATGAAATGGCAACGCCCGGGCGAGCCTTTTTGCTGCAGTCATTCGTTTGCGGCACACAAAACAACGGCAGAATCGGACGCGTGCGTATTTTGTGCTGGAGGATGTTTCTTAGTGCGTAGGTAGGTGCTTTGTCTTCTTGCAAACCGAGTGGAATCTGCTCGTAACTTTTGGTAAACGGATGGTGAGCTCGGTATCACAGACAGTGGGGCGCATTACGAACAAGTCGTGTAACTTCAACCTAATGCAGGATTCCTTATTCCTCGCATTTCTCGCAGAATCCGTGTGTTTCTTGCAGAGCCGGGTCATCGGCTGCTTTTGCGTAACAGCCCTCCAAGCTGCCTGGCATCGATTGTGGGACCTTCAGCTGTGCCCAGTCGTTACCGGGTCAACGACCCGCCGATGGTGTGTGGAACGACACTCCGCCGTTGATGATGGCCACTGGGCAGCGTCGTTACACATGGCACTACGACCGACTGTCGTACCTGGGCCACGCGGAGATGGTGTCGTTTCCAGCTGACTCAGTCGCTCTGGAACGGGCACTGGGGACCCGCGTGGGTGGGAGCAGATACTGGCAAGACTGGGGCATTGTGGGATAGAGGTGGAGACTTGAGAGCGTTGGACTTACTGCTGTGGGGATTATCAGCTTCCGGTGTATGAGACTGTATTCAGTCACGAATGTTGTGGCAGCTATACTCTGCTTTCTGTGCCCTGCTGCATATGGGACAGTGCAGTGACCTTTCATGTTCTCCTTCTTCCGCTGTGTGTAGGGTGGTGAACTGAAGTATTTTTCTTCACTCTGTTCTCAGGCGCTGTGTGTATGAGGGTAAAGTGAAGTATTTGTATTGCTCTTTGTCCTCAGGCGCTATCTGTACGCTGGACTGAGCGGAGCCTTGAGGAGCTGCGCCGCTGTCGGCCCGGCCAGCTGGACCAGGACCAGCAGCAGCAGCAGCAGGCTCAGAGACAGGACCAGGAGCGGCGGCAGCTGCAGCACAGTGTCCGCCAGCTGCAGCGCTGGCTGGAGGACACCTACCGCGACCAGCTGCAGCAGCTGCACCAGAAGCTGCACCAGCACAAGGACCAGCTGCTCCAGGTGAGAACTGGGGGATGGTGCTGGTGGTAACGCGGACATGACTCGTTTGTAGTTACGGAGATGTACTGCGGGTACCCACGGGAGGGAGGCTCGTTTTTTGACGACCTGCTGGTAATCGGAAACATTTTGTGAGAGACGAAATGATCCAATCTGACCGGCTGCGTGGGCTGCAGTGTCAAGATTTACCGGTCCGCTCGAGTCATTCACTGGCCTTATCTCTGGCCTTACCGTCCCAGCACGGCAGCCGCCAGAGCGTTCGTCGGTCCCACCTTCTTTGCGCCGCCCACAGCCTGCACCTACCACCGCTCCCATCTCGCCTCTCGGTCCCACCAGTCCTCCCACCACTCTCACCCTCCCACCACCGCTCCCACCGCGGCAGTGCGTCGCCGCCGTGTCGCCGCGTTGTTTGGCCGTCTGTGTGTCCCCTGGGTACTGTGTGCCCGTCCAGCCGATGGGTTACTGCCGCTCAGGACCCGGGGACATAGCTCGCAGGCTCGTTACAGCCTGTCGGCCTGTTTGCTGGCTGGGGAAGTGTTAATGTGTTTGTGATTTCGCACCGCGGAGAGAGTGGTTTGAGGTATCGGTGGCTACTTGATTGGAGTTCTGTTGTCCCCTGTGGGTTGGTTGTTATCGAAACTTGAGACTGATTAGAGGTCATTTTGGTTCTGGGGCGCATCGGCATATCATTGTGTATGCGTTGCCCTGAAATATGGCGAACATACGCATGTTAATTCTGCTATTTTCAATGAAATCTCGATATATGAATTATTCAGCGCTACGTTTTCTTCTTCTTTTAAAGTTTTTGTTTCTCAAATCCCCTTTACAACTTATGCTTTGACCTTCTCTCTCTTGCCTCACTCCTCCCCTTCTGTCCCTCTTCCTCCGCCGCCCTGCTCGCTCTCTCCCATATGTCCCTCATCTCAGCTCGTCTCCCGTCCGTCTGCGGGTTGTTGGTTCAGCTCAGACCGGCTGCGGTTGCGGCCATCACTTTTGTCTATTCCTGTCTCGGTACCCCGCCGGCCCACCACGGGTTCAGTGGGGACCGGAACCGGGTGGCACGCAGTCGGCACGCATAGTGCGGGGAGAGCGGTCTGAGGTGTGTGTGGGAAAGGTGGGGTGTCCGGTGTGGAGGGTCTGTGGTGTGTTGAAGTTCTGTAGTGAGTTCACTGTGGAGGGACCTGGGTTGTCGTGAGGGGCGTAGTGTAGTGAAACGTTGGTGTAAGTGTTGAGGATTGTGGCCCTTCGATGGATTGTGGTGGATGGTGGGACTGTGAGCTACGGAGTAAACCCTGTTTGAGTGCGGTGAGACGCAACGTGGATGCAGTGATGTGTTGTGTTGGTGGGATGTGGAGGGTCAGTGCCCTATCGTTGGATGTGGCGAAGTAGCGCGATGATATTACGCAGCGGAGTATGTTGTGTCCCGGAGTGTCGGTGTGCGTGCTAGTGTGTCGTTTGAGCGGGTTAGTTGCTACTGTTTTCACCAGCACTCAGCGAAACTGATGGTGGGCTGTTGAGTTACTGCGTTGTAGGCCAAGTGGTTTGATAAATTCAGGCTAGATTTGTGCATGTAAGATTTATGCTACGTTCATGCTTGCCTCCGTCCCCTGACGTCATTACGGAGCGAGCGAAGCGAGCGTAGTCTTTCCTTAGATTAACAGAAATTTCTGAGTATGAGCGGCCGGCCGGCCGGCCGGCCGGCCGTGCGGACGCTTTTGCGAGGCTTATATCTCAGCAACCACTTGACCGATTTACATGCGGTAATTTTTGTAGGGTAGCTTCATTCCTTCTACCAAGTATTGGACTATTCCCGATGCATGTGGGTGACCCCTTATGCACGTGCCACGTGCAAAACGAAGAGGTGTCAGTTTTGTAATTGTTGCAATATCTCGGTAACTACTTGGCCGATTGCGCTGAAAGTTGGCATGTAGGTAGGCACCCACTAGGCACTGCATACCCATGTGCCAGAGTTGGGGTGCTGCTGCACGTGCGCACGTGCAGGGGTCGGTTCCAGATCTCGAGAACGGCTGGACCGATTGCGCTCAAATTTGGTACACAGTTAGGGACCGGTTAGTAGGGTGCCGTGCAAAAGTCAGTCGGGACCCATTTTGCACGTGCGCACGTGCAGGGTGCCGCTTCCAGATCTCGAGAACGGCTGGGCCGATTGTGCTCAAATTTGGCACATCGTTAGAGACCGGTTAGTAGGGTGCCGTGCACAAGTCAGCTGGAGGTACCCACTCGAAATTTCGCACGTGCAAGGCTCACCCTCTTGCTCGCTCCGTTAGTCGCCCCAAAAGGCGTTATACTGGTTTACATATGCCATGATTTATATTACAGATGCTTGCTTCCAATAAGCATAATAAACATCTGATAAACATGCAATGGTGCAGCTTAGACGTAAATAGTTGCGACGTGCATTGTAATTGGTATCCGGCAGTCATGAACTTCGTGCATATACAAAAAGCATAACGAGAGATCTAGTGATGAGCTTGTCATTGCTGACTGTCGAGCGTCACCGCTCCCCACCAACACTAACTGTCCCCTCTCTTTCGTCGCCAGCTGGAGTCAGAGACGCTCGAGAAGGCCCACACACTGTCAAAGGAGCCGCACGTGATCATTGACGCTATGCGCTCGGAGAACTCTCAACTGAGGTGAGACACGTCACGGAGGCTCGAGTCGATGTGTGAGTCTAGAGTCTGTGGTAGTAGTGGGAAACTGGTGGGACAGCTCACCTTTGGTCTTCAGGGAGACATCAACGTCTATTGTCGATGCATTAACTGCTGAACAAGTTGTCCATTATTTATTTGCACTTTCTGGGCTGATATTTTATGCGGATATTTACCATCAAAATAATATATGTTTCAGTAGGAAATGCCAAAAGTTTATCAAGCTGCCAAGTCTTGCCCGCTGCTTTGCCGCCACTTCTCACACCTGACTCCTTACTGACGTGTTTCCATTATGGCTACAGCCGCCAATTGGTAGTCCATTTGTGTGTCATTCGGTGATGTACCGTCCGTCTGTCTGTCGGCGGGGACCATATTTTAGGCGGCACGCTCCGCCCTCGGGGCTGATCGGCTGGGAAGGGCGGCCGTCTGTCTGGTTACGACCGCTCCTCTGACTAGCGTGACTCACCATTGCGAGTCGAACTCCGACTCGAACGCTAGCACAAGACTTAGGTCTGTGTTTCTGAGTTTAGGTGTGAGGAGGCTCAGTCTTTTGAACTTTTGTGCTAGCTCCCTGACCACGCGAGTACCAGGCAACTCGAGTACCAGTTGCCTGAAATGTGACCACCATTTCCCTGTCCTCTCCCGTCTGGTTCACCCTGCCTCTCTCACTGCTGACGTCTCCCGTGTAGCCGTCGCGTCTCTGCTGAGAGAAGGCAGCTAATTAGACGTTGATGGACAGTTATTAACCCGCGCCCCGTAGGGGGGGCCGAAACGGCCCCTCCCTGTCCTTTTCGGTCGATATCTCCTAAACGGCTGGAGATATCGCCACCAAACTTTCAGGACCCCTCCGGGCATCAATTTTACACATTGTGACCAAAAATTTTCCAGAGGCTATGATAGGTTGGCCACAAATGACGTCAGAGTGACGTCATGTTCTGTCATTTTCGACCGAAAAAAGACCTTCGCGAGAAGACCTGTCAGGACTACAGCTTTGAAGATAAAGAAAAATGATCAGACAGAAAAGGTGTAGAATTGACAGGGCTACAAAACTGCTATCTCGAATTTTTGAAATTTTTGAGTTTTGACCCCCAAAAATCAAAAAAACATTTTTTTGGATATATTCGCCAAAAAATCCAAAAAGTTTTTTGAGTTTCGAAAAAACCGGAATATATGTGATAGTGCCTACCGTCTTCTATCTACATACCAAATTTCAGATCGATACCTCGTTTTTTGGCCAAGTTATAGCGAAAAACTGTTCAAAAATGATGACGTCAAATTTTCAAACTCAATTTTTGGTAATTCTAGAACTCGTAGAGCAAAACGAAGACCACCATTAGACTCCGCGTGACGAGCTGCATCGAATCGATACCCATTTTATGCAAAAATATCAACTTTGAAATTTGACCTAATTTGACCTGAACTTGACCTGACCTTCACAAAAACGTGACCTAGGCTGGCCCCCAAGGCTGCCTAACCCACATAATCGCATTTGTCATGTAAAATGGACCATAAAACATGTATCACACGACACATTCATATTGTGACCCCCGGTGACCTGACCTCGCTGTGACCTGACCTGGTATCAGTGACCTCAGATAGCAAAGTATGTGTTTAACGAACAATGTACCATCGATGGTTTTCAATAAATTACCAATTTACTCGCTTTCACAGCACATTTCTTGAATTGCCTGTGAACGGTGAAAATCCGACCTTTGACCTGACCTGTGACGTCATCGGTTTGACCTAGGTCAATGAAATTTGGTCACAAGGTAGTTCCTGGGTGGGGCTATCGAACGCCGTTTGAATTTTGAAAATCGGCCGGTAACTTTCCGAGATCTTAGGGGGGGGGGGGGCGAAACGCCCCCTCCCTACGGGTGGTAGGGTCCGCCGGTAGCCCTACGGGGCGCGGGTTAAACGACTGCAATGCATCATGTCTTAGTAGGAGGCTGGTCCAGGGCTACGGAAAGCCGACATGTTGAGGCGCCGAGATGTGATGTGACAAAAGTTAACAAAGTTTGGAAAGGGTGGTAGCGGCTAGCGACGGATGCAGGACTGCCCTCAATGAGATTAAATTCCCGGATCGACCTTCCTCTCAGTTAATAACCAAAGGGCCGCCATCATTGCTGTATGACCTTCATCTTTCTCGTCGGCCGCGTCAGCATATCCAACCAGGTACCGTGAGGATCACCCTTCTCTCCCTGTACCCGCACCGGCGACTGACTGTAGTGAGGACTCTTAGCCACTGCTTGGTCACTTTCGCTCATCTCCAGTCATCGGTCACTGGCCGCAGCGGTCAGCGGTCATTGGTCTACCGTTGCAGGTCAGCGGTCAAACAGCCGCCGGCGGTGTGAGCTGTATTGACCTGCCCTCCCCGGCCCGGACCGGACCGGACCGAGTATTGGGTGCGTTTGGTACTCTCACCGGTCGATCGCAGCTCCGGGTCGGCCGACCGGTCAGAGTTATTGCTGATGGGAATCGATACACGGCTATTATGGCGCCCATTGGCGGAAATTTGCAGGAGCTTGACCGACAACGGTGCCATGTGTTGCAGACAAATCGATTTAGTTTGTGATTTGCGACGTTGATCTATGATGTGCAGCATATGTCTAGTGCGTGATTTAGAAACATTAGCCTCGTACAGTAGCATTGGTGCATAACTGGCGTAAGCTTAGACAAGTATTTGGCATAGTATATGCCTTCTATTACATACTCGTATATCCGTAATGTGAGTAAATTACGATGCTTTCAATTATTAGGTGTGATCCTTTAGCTAATTTGCATTCATCGTCCATTCTTTTGCGGGCGCATTTTTCTATTAGCACGCCTAGATCGCAAATGGGAGCCCCTAGCGACGGTGTTCCAAACTGGCATTCGGTTGGTTTTATCATTATAGACGACCCCATCTCAATAAAGTGCTGATTACGAGCGCTAATGAGCGTCATAAAATCCCATTATGGCGGCGCGGGCGTGGTGATGATGGTCGCTGGTCGCCATAGCCTCACTGCCGTGGAAGCAGAGGTCTACCCGGGTCCCTGACCTCACAGCAGTGACTGGATGACTCGACCGGCGCGGTGCCGCTGGACCGCGCGGCGTTTCATGGCCATGGGGACTGAGACAGACGATGGCTCCGAACGGACTTAGGGAGGGAACAACCCCTGAAACTCTGCGTGATGCATAATGGAGTCCTGCCTGCGTCGTCGTCGCTTGAACATCTACATAGAAAAGGCTTACGATTGTGTTTTGCGATCAAAACGATCCCCTCGGCCCAATTACTCTTTCTTCTCCGTTACCCTGCCCCATACCAAACCATTGACCGGCCCCGCTTGTCGGTCAAAGTATCCGGTACTGTATCCGCTGAGTTATCCGCTACTGGGTCTCCTGTCTCTCGTTGCGCTCACTACCTATCTGACTGCTATCGTGTCGCCCTCAGACGCCAGCTGGCGGAGCTGGAGCAGCACCAGACTGGGCTGGAGCAGCAGGTCTCCGAGCACGAACAGGAGCTCAACACTCTCAGAGAGTACTTCCAGGAGAAGGTCAAGTTCACCGAGAACATGTGAGTGTGGGGTGAAGGCGTGTGTGTGTGGGGGGGGGGGGGGGGCTTATCTGGGTGTTGTGGGGAAGGGGACTGTGGATATAGTAACAAAGAGCCTCGGAAATAATTGTGTTCACCGTAGTGTCATGCCCGATTTCGAGAGATTCCTCGGATTGGTCAGTCCAAGGATTAGAAGGATTGGTGAGTAATTCATTGTTTCTTCGGACTTCGGTATCTCAATGAAATCGCCAACCCCAAATGAATCATTGTGAAGTGAAATCCAAGGTATTGACTAGTGTTACTAACTCATCAAATTGTCAATATGTGATAGGCGGCTGTGTGTAGTGTGGAAGTCCACCACCCTTTAAATATTTTCAATCAAGTCCAGAAACACTGGAGGGAAAATACTAGCAGTTCCTGAACGGACCTTCCATTCCCACGCGTGCCTTCTTCCCGTCCCACATTTTCCGCTGGGCGCCTGCGGCGGCGGTCGGTCGTTCATTACGCGTCTGTGGTGCGCCACCTCCGAGAAATCCCTCTACGCGAGGTTAATCAGTTTTCCATCTAGTTCGGCACGCCTGCCGGCCTTGTTTTGAAGCCAATGTCTGGAGTGGGGCTCCGAGGGCTTTGTTTCCGCGCCGCCACTAAGCCACACAAGGGCAGCGCGAACGAGCCATTTCACGGCTTCAGACGCCTTTTCATCGGGGGACTTTGTTTTTGAGAAAGTTTGCCACCATCCTGTTTTAATGAAGAACTTAGATGGCCTCGTCAGCTGTCCTTTGTCACGCCTAATGGCTATTGTTGTGGTTTCAACGGCAAATATTAGATTGACTCTGTTTCATAAACATCAGCATTTACATTCCCGAATTATTTTAGGCCATTGTCCTTAGGTTGCGTAGTGGTACGCTGTCTGATAAAGCGCCGTGCGCCTGATTTTTGACTGTCTAGTCTTGTCGTCCCATTTTGCACCCCTCCCCCTGTGACCTTTTCTGACCTGTCACACCTCCCGTCAGGTACTCTGAGGAGATTCGGCGACTGATCCAACAACAGGCGGGTCGGCCCGAGTCGGAGTCGGAGTCGGCGGCCGTTGAGACTGCGGACAGGGACGGTCTGGGCGACCTGGCGGAGCTGGGAGGAACCCTTACCGACCTCGGCCTGCCCGACGGAGCCGTAGACACGGCTGGGTGAGAGGCGGAGGAAAGGGAAGGGCTGGAGAGTAATGGGCTGGAGGATCGAGTCGGTGGTGGAGGGACAGGGGTTGTAGAGGAGCGAGTTTGGTCGGGGTTGAAGGGGGTCGAGCTATGGTCGGGTCAGGCTCGGTGGAGGGATACAGGGGCCGCAGGTTTGGAGAGTGGACGACGTTGGTTTTGTTACCTCCTGGGTTTAACACTTGTTAGTTCAGTCCCACGCACAAGGGGGAAAAGCTCAAAAAATTGAGCGCTCAAAAAATTGAGCGGGCCCCATTATGAAGGAATAGGCGAAACGATGGTATTTTACAATGCCTCTAGCGTCACACTACGGCAAATATCGTATCCAAATAAGGTATCAATGGCAAGAGAGAGCAACAAGGTTTCTTCTCGAACACTCGCCGTGATAATTAATATCGGTGTTTTTGGAAAGAAAATGCCCTAAAGACGCTCAACTTTTTGAGCGCCACTTGTCGTTCGGGACCGCGATACTCAATAAATTGAGCGCCACGACAGACGACAGTCAGCTGGCGCTCAAAAAATTGAGTGCCGGCCAGCATCTACACTCAATTTATTGAGCCTTCTCCGTGACAGGTGAAGCCGGTACTGGCTGCCATTTTTGATGTTATGTTCGTTGAAATACGTTAAACTGAGTTGAAACAGAAATGCAGGAAGTTGAATGCTACGTGGTACCTAAACTTTTCACAAACCCATGGCATCATGTCACATTTTCCGCTAGTAGTTTTATCGGTCGCCTTTCGGATTCGGCACACCTCAAATAATTATACAGGGCTTGAATAATCCGTATGAATACTGTATTGATATTTTCTGACTGTACTGGGAGAAGGGAATACGTGATTACAGAAAGATATCCACCCACGCTTGAATATTGGAGAATTATACAGGAAAAACTGTATTGCCACGGTTACAACTTACAAGGCCATCGGCCGCAAACAAACAAAAATACTATACAATGTGGGTTAGATTCACAAACATCATCAAGTGTGGAACACAGAGACGAGCAAAACAACATCACATTATCGCATGCCAGCCCAGCCACATTGGAACCGGGTGACCTGAGACCGGAACCTGCGTCTTGCCAGCATACATCACAAAAGCAGGAGGCAGTGTTGTACTGCTTTGTTCCAAAATATGCCATATAACAAATGATATAAACGACCTAAGCTCGGACTAAGCTTATCATTATCAAATCCTTAACATGTAAAAGACGAATGGAAACATCGAGTCTCAGACCAGCAGTAGCAACCATCACAGTAGCAACATCACAAAGAACACGCGGCATTATCAGACAGCCGTTTTGTTATCGGGCTACAGGCGGCGACGGCGTGGTTGCAGACCAGCTGCGAGGTAGCGGCGTGCGGGCAAAAGGCGCGGGCACACCTCCATGTGGCCGTGCGGACAGTGCGCGGTCGGCGTCGCATAGTGGGCGGCATCGGGCTGTCCCGGGGCCGTCGAAGCCGCACAGGTTGTCGGCGCATGTGGGCGCGCGCGGTCACCACGGCCAGCTGCTCACCACCAGCACAGACTGCGCAGCGTCGCCGCTCCGCCGGCCAGGACACGCAGACAACCCTTCTTGCAGTTGCACAACACATCGCCAAACTCATTCACCTGCTCCACCATGTTGTTGATGTCACCGAGTCGTTCAAGTTGTGGCTCGTGCCGTCGAGCATGACCTGCCCGATCGGACACGGGTCAGCGGCTTCTGCTCCAGCGAAGTCTTCATCTTGGTGACGTCTTGCTGATCTCCACAAAGGCTGAGCAGATGACCTTACCCACAGGGACGGCCGACGTCCTCGCCAGCGAACGCTTGGTTGTGCAGACCTGCCAGAAAAAGAAAAGCTGTTTGGTGATCTCAAACGATTTTTTTTTTATGCAGTGGAACAAAATGGAAAATATGTCATACAACAGGAACTAAAAAAAGATGCAGCCTAGGTCGTCTAAGAAATGGGTGCAACATTGATAAAATTCTTCCTTGAATGAATTCTACAAATGCTTTTGATAAAATGTGTGGTGATTATAAGGAGACCACTTTACTATAAAATTGCTCAGGATTCCCTATCTGGACCTGTCAAAAAATCCTGACTGCACACCAACAATGAGCATTAAATCCGAAAGCTCTACCAGGTACCTAGGGATAATTAAATTCTGATTCAGGGAAATATTTCACATCATACAAGTAAAAACCTTTACTATATTGAAACTGAAAATGTGATGCCGATCCAGTGACCTAAGGGTCTCAAAGTATAATAATGAATTAATCTATTATAAATTTGGTGGTGACTGCCAACTGGCGTCTGGCAGCCTAGACCTTGAGGCTTGAAAGTGGCCTTCCTTTTCCGTTGACTCCGATCCTCCAGATGGAAATGATATAAAGGATCATTTTTATCTTATTTCAAATGAGCCAGTCAGCAAAGTGGCTATCCTGTTTCAGCATTCACACACACAATAGTTGACTGTCAGTCTGTCATGCTGTCAGTGTTGTGAAGTAACGAAGGAGTTGAGTTTTGTTGATTATAAATTGTGATGTTATGTAAATGACTGGAAAATGAATGTGAAAACTATGGAAACATATTGGCAGAGTATTGTCACTTACTATCAGGACATATGAATAGAGAATACATTCAAATTAATAAGAAATGCCAAATATCAAGGTACTCAATCACTGATAGCAGTGGACTATCATATGTTTTAATGTCAATTATATGAAAGTTAAGACTGAAACTACCTTTTACTTCATCATACCTAATGAAAAATTGTGTGAAGAAAACATTCACAGCCTCTTTGAAGCACTTAGACCACTAAAAAACAAAAATTTTCACGTAAATATGTTGTGTCTCTTTCCCTCAAAACATCATATCGGATGGCGCCACTTTCGTCGACAGTTACTTATCTGCACGCAAATCGAGGAAAACGTGAATTGATTGACCTTTACGTGTTTCCAAATTTAAAATCACAGCATATTCAAACTTTTCAGTGTACCTTTTAACATCTAAGTATAACTAAAACGTTAAAAACTTACCTTCAACACAAGGACGACGACAACCACGCGACCGAAGACGTCGCGACGAAATAAACAAACGGCGCCGCCAAATGAAAAATATTCTCCGATATGGGTGATGTGAAATTGAGTCGCAATCATTTTGGGTAGTATGAAAATTGCTCTTTCCAACAGAACCCTAGTAAAAAAGGTGAATGGACGAAAAATAACTTTTATTTCGACATAAATATTGGCCTGTTTTTAAGGCATCCTGGTATGCCGTAAGATTTCGACCTAGAAATTGGTGTTCCCCCAATCATTGAAGCTTGAGCAGTGAAAAATATGAAAGCCTAATCTGTTTTGCATCATTAGTGATTCTCCTAGGGTGTTGCCATTCCTCCCTAGGTGTTGCGAGTTGCTTTTGCAAAACGTGTTCCTGAAACGGCTCAATTTTTTGAGCCCTCAGCATTACGCCTATGGGAGCCTCTGACGTCACACGCTCAATATTTTGAGCGCTCAATAATTTGAGCTTTTCCCCCTTGTGCGTGGGACTGAGTTGTTACATCTATGTTCTGGAGCAGTAAGAGATACCATAGTTTTTGTGGACACATTTTGTTGACAATAACGGCCCTGCTATCGATTGACAATCGAATGAAAAGATTGCAGGTTTCATGACTGTGAGTGACACGGTCTCACCCATCAGCTCCTCCTACTACTCTTATGGGATACTCGTAGATCTCTGCTCATCGTTAGCGTTCACTCTCGTGAACTCTCGGCTAACCTGTGTTCCTTGTACCCCGACAGTCCATCCATCCTCCGTCTCCGCGTGGAGTTCGAGCGGCGGCTGGCCGCCCTCCGGCAGCAGCTCGACAGAAGGGTGGCGGCGCGGACGGGGGACCTCCGCGCGGAACTGGAGCGGAAGCACCGTCAGGAGGTCAAGGAACTGGAGAGGAAGCACCTCACGCAGCTGGCGCAGACCGTCGAACGGTGAGACATGTGACTGACTGTGGGAAATGGGCAATGGCCAACAATCTGGTCAGTTTGTCAGTGGTCTGTCATGGATAATAGTCATTAGGTCCATCAATGACTGCATGGTCAGTTGTTATGTATACTGTTTTTCTGTGTTTTTGTGCTCCATAACGCAACACCTTTTTAGTCTACTAACTATATGATGTCAAGGTTAAAATATTCTCGGCCCATCAAATATGTTACATATACAAAACATATTTAGCCATTGCGCTGCATCAGTGATCCGCAATCGTCCGGCTGATATTATGTTGGTTCGTTTCAGCTACAAGAAGGAACTGGAGGCGGGTAAGAGGGAGTCTGAGAAACAGATCAGCGAGATGCGCAGCCAGCTGATGCAGCAGCACCAGGAGGAACTGCGGCGCCTGGCTCAGAAACATCGGCGCAGACAGGTAAGAGCGGGTTGGCGAGACAGCAAGTTGGGATGGTGAGGGAGTTTTCCTGGCAGCTAGGAATGTGTCTGTGAAATAGGAAATAAAAATCAGTGCCTCGCCTAAGAGACATGAAGCTGGTAGGTGGGCACTACTTGGCGAAATGGGGAATCGGGTGGGTTCTATCAGACCGTAGTATATTGCAAAGGACAGCACTGATTGGGGTAGGAGCTAATGATAATTGGCACATACATTGGCAAGATAGCAAATAAAGTTGTCTTCTCGCGTCAGATAGAAGAGAATTGGCGAGATTGGGAATCAGACGGAGCTGTAGCAAGGGAATGAAGGGAAGGAAAAGTACAGAAATAAAAAAAGCTGCATCTTGAGGTTCATCAAACAGCGCGGTCCACTGCTGTTCGGCGGTGTAGCAGAAAAGAGATTCGCTGCTGGAAGGAACTCGATAGTAGAGCTGGTAGAACAGGGGAGCTTGAGAGTCGTTGAAGAGATCCCGAGATAGATCTAGTGAGAGATCCAGATAGTGATGAGATCCTGAGATAGATGAGATCCACCGGATAGAGATGTAAGTATCCACCTTGCGTACAAATACATCTGATGGAAGATGCTTTTTAAATTGGAGGCTTGATGATTCTGTTCATTGTATAGACCATGATGCACGAGATGCTTCTTCACTGCTCGGATTAGGGATAGAGGGATCCGATCAGCTGGGTTTGCAGCACAGTTGGGCAGGTGAAGGACAGGGCATTCGAAGTCCCGATGACCACTGCCAAACATATGGGTGGTAATTACATTGATTAATTGAATGTGATCATTCGTCCAGTCACCCATTCCTATATCACTGGCCTCCCCATTACAAAAATTGCCCGCTTAGTTCGTATTAGCGTTGCTAGTTTAGTTGCCCTCGAGAATCATTTGTTCGACTGCCATAACCGAATTCTACCAAATTCCTATCGGCCTTACTCTAAGATTCATGCGTCATCATTCTCACATCCTTGCTCGCATTACGTTCACATTTCATGTATTCACCCAAATTTAATTGGTAGCCCCCGAAATTCCCTCCGATAGTGTTAGGCGTCTTACAAACCATGGTCTCCCCGGCGAGATAAATGTCTCTTTCCGAAATCCATATGCATGCTCCGCTAACCGGCGACAAAGATACTTATCGCAGGGCCGTCCAGAATAATTATACACAAATATCCACCCTACTAATTTATGGGATTCACTACACGTCCGATAGACTTATGGTACACACATACACGATTTATATCCGACTTATCTCTCTACCGGGAGAGATTACCTATGCCCTCTTCCGGTCCGCGTGTAACATTCCCGTTCACGACCCAGGGACCACCGTTCATATCCTGGAACTCTCCTCAGGAACTCTCCTTAAACCATGGGATTTACTCTTCAAGGCCTTACGTGTCCTGGAGTACATTCTTCCCTCCCCTGAGGCTGTCCAGTACCGATTAAGGTACCTTTACAAAATAAGTATGAGGACTTATTCGGGACACTACGGCGCGCCTTATCCGCACTTTTGGGTGACTCACCCCTGACCCTCGGCTTCTTGCCTTTGGCATAACTTACTCTCCACTGCACACTGTGCCAATCTTCCCCTTCCCCCTGCCGTAGAAACCTCTCACTGCCTTCTCACCCAGTGTTACCTAAGCGGGAAAATTAACAGTGGCCGGTACCACTGGCGGAAAACGTGCATATGCCCTGCGTACGTGACGGCGTGTCCCTCTTATTATTCCGGTCTGGACGTGGGTTTAGAGAAGTGCATCTGTGTCTCATACGGTCATGCTGGTAAACGCTACGCCATAGGAGACGGGCAAACAAGCCGTCTGTGCCTCACAATGCCCTGTGCCAATATTGGTGGAGTAATTATTGGCGCTAACTCTCAAGAACGCGAATAACAGAAACGCATCTAATCGTAATCTCAAGTCCTAATTGCTGCTGCACGCGTGAACCTAATCATCAGTTCTCGTAAACAATCCTAGCAGACCTTGAACCGCTCTTGATTTCATCAGATAATCTAGAACCAATTAGTACGCACCGATCTGTCGTCTGGTTGTGATCCACCGTATCATAGTGAATTGCTGAATGCTCAAACGGAAATGACTCCTTGAAACTCGTTCGATAGCTTCTGATGGGCTACTAGTTACCTAAACAAATTATCTTTATAGAGTGCCAGAATATTGTCATAGGGTCCCTAGCCTTTCATAGGGAATCTATTTTAAATCATCCTATTAGCAGTAAACAATGCGCATCAAACGAAGTGCAGTCCTAAATATCAAATAGCATGTCATATTTAAAATTATGCATTAACTGTTTACGTTCTTACCCCGTTGCAACTTTCCACAACTAACCATGCTCCTATATACAATGACCTTCACCTACCGCCCGCGCCCCAATTACGGCTAACCCACTGCCCCTGTTGTGGCTGCTTTTTACGCCCTCTGGCGGCTCAACGCCCGCGTCGAGAGCGACGATACTGGCCGCCGGCTGGCGTCGCGTCGACAGTCAGTCAAGGCCACGCCGCGATGGGCGCGTCATCACTCGCGGTGCAATGCTCGTGCGTGTTGTCTCTTCTGGCCGGGTGGATTCACCGGATGTGTCAGTGAGTGTGAATCTGGTAAAATATCGCTGCAATATCTCCCTGTTCGACATCTCATCAGCTCCATTCAACGTAAGTTTTTTTTTAAATTAAATTCCTGTCCCATTTAATCGTTCCCCAACAAAGGTGGTCCTTTCTAGTATTTATTCTACAAAAGCACAACGATCGGCACCTATATTAGTCGCATATTAGTTCTAACCACAAACAATTCTACATCTACCTGTTACTCGACATTTCGCAATTTCAATGACGCAAAGTGACCATCTAAAGTCGCTAAGTGTCAAACCGTCAACCTCAAACCACTGCTCGCAACTCTGCACCTAAGTAACAGAAGAAATTCCGCCGTAAGCTCAAGCATTCGTATCTGTCGGAAACCATAACTCATAGCCATATTCATAGATCGATCGCATGAATCAGTCGCCACCTTAAAACATTACATTCCCTTTCAACCGTATTTACCTGTTCTATAATTGATTTCGACTTCGCAATTAATTCCTACAGCAATATTACCAATGATTTCGCAATGCAACTTTTAGTGAGTACAGCACGAATCTAAACCCTTAATTTCACAAACGTTCCAACCTCAAAACGCACCTGGCCATCGCCCATAATAAATCGAACGAACCAGCTTGACCGAAGACAAAGACATTTCAACGCTGTCACACATCCAGTCATCAATCTCAACGTTCGTGACCATGAGCTGCTTATTCAAATTTTAGCCTCTCGCTCTGGGCCTAATCGTGAACTCCAACTGACAATAACGGTTTGCTGGCGACTCTGACATGACTTCGAAATTCAGATCCTAATATGCTACTAGGGTGTCTGGACCAATAAGCTCAAAGTAATTTAAGTTTTCCAATTCCAATTGAGAGTGCATTTTATGGCAACCGAAAATGTTTGGCAGTCGTCACGGCACGGCAACCGGGCAGAGGGGGGGGGGTCAAGGATTGGGATTGAGCAGACTTTTCAACAACACTCACATTCTGGAGTTTCTCTGCGCTTCCGCTTCTCAGTGTGGTCACAAGCGTCGGCTACTGTCCTCGGTTCTGATCACTCGAACTGAAGAGGCTTCTCGCGGGTGACCCCGGACTGACGGCGGCCTCCAGATGGCGTCTCCGGCTCCGGCTGCAGACTGTGACTCTCGGCTGCTCGACTGTGATTCTCCCTCTGGTTGGGTGGCGCACCCTTTTATAGTTGGGGGGGGGGGAGGGGTGACTGCCACGCCCTTGCGACGTCATCTTCCTCTGCCTTCTTCTGGTGGGTGGGGCCGTAAGATGGCGCCCTCTGTCCTGTTTAGTCACCTTGCTCCTCTGTGCCTGCAATTTTTGGCCGTCGAATCGTCTTCGTGTTGAGTGCTTTATCATTTTAGTAATCGCTGACATAAAACAATCCACGAAAGGTTTGTGATTTTCGAGTTTTAATTTTGATTCTTCAATTTCATTTTATTCAAACTTTTGTTTCCTTCCGTTTCGTCTGCCGCCAACGCCCCTGTGACGTCACTCTTGCTCCGCCCACCGTACCGGGGCGTGGCCGTAAGTCAGCGCCTTCTTCCTCTGCGGAGATCTCTGGAACTACCTCATGAGGCCATTGTGAGGTCGGTCACCCGGCTATTTTGCCAGGTTCACTCACCCTGGGTTGCTGTGCCCGACAAAGGAGGCTGTGTGCTCCAGCCGGCATCCATCCTTGACACTGCTCCATGATCTGTTGACATATCTTACTGATCCAGCGTTATTTGAGGAGGCTCGGATCGCTCATCCTGCGGTAGCTGTCTCCATAGGCGAGCGTCGTAATGAGAGTTTAACGGCTGCCCATTGCGAAGACCTCTGGAACTACAGCGTTTTTGCTTGCCGTAGGATCTTTCTGGTTTTGCCATTCCCTCCGTGGGACTCAGCGCGGCGCAGCTGTTGTGGTACCTGACAGAGTACGTGACAAGTGACAGAGTACCTTAACGTGCTCGCTCGCCGCCGCCGCCGGCCGCAGTTCTGACGTAGCTTGTTGACTCAGCTGTGCCTCGGCGGTTCGTACTGATGTGACCGGCATCGTCTTCTCGCAGATGTGTCTACTGCGGGCTATTCTCACGGACAGTGCTCGTTGAGGGAGTTGGGGAAAAGTGCTGAATGGGGATGGCGGGCCTGGTGACGGGGGGGGGGGTAGTGAATAATGAGAGGGGAGGAGAGCGCAGCAGCAGCGCTCCGCTCAGCTGTGCGTCACCCGGTAGCAGCGACGGGTGTGTGAATGGAGGGCTAGGCCTGTGACCGGACTGCGAGGGGGGGGGGGGGAACTGCCGTACCGAGCCGTGCCGAAAAGATACTACGTTAAATGTTCAAGATGTAGCGTGCTACATCTTCAGTCCAAACAACCCTAGTTGCGTCCTCGCAACTCATACAAA